TTCCCCTCTCTGTCTGTGTTTGTTTATTCTCTTGTTCCGATTAACCCAGCCAAATCTTTTTTCTTGTCTTGTATCTATATCTACGCCGGGATCCGGAGTCGAGGCTGATCCTCTTGCTGTAGTCCTGTGTCTTGGATCCTCTATCCCGAGTTCTGGATTAAGTCGTGGACATCATGTCGTGGCTGAACCTGTCTCTGCGGTCCTGCCTGGGTCTCGTCATGCTGCTTCCCTGATGGCTTCACAGGATTGTAGCTGACATCCTCGTGGATTCATCTTCTTATTACAGACACATGCATTTCCTAACATTCGGTCCATATGCTGTAAAATGTATTATCTCTTCGATTTACACACGGCATCTATTGCACGTCTGTCCGTCCTGGGAGAGGGATCCCTCCTCTGTTGCTATCCCTGAGGTACTCACTCTACGATGTGAGGGTCTAAGGACAGAGGGTCTGAGGACAGAGGGTCTAAGGACAGAGGGTCTAAGGACAGAGGGTCTAAGGACAGAGGGTGTCATTTTTCTCATACTGATATTCTGAACAATCTGTGCTGTTGTATTTGCTGTAAAGCGTCTCTACTGTAGGCTATTTTATTATACGTACAGCACTTTGGCTCCACCAAAAATCGTTTATAAATGTGCTATATAAATCAAACTTGATTTGATAACAACATTTAAAAAAATACGGCTAATGAAAAATAAAACGACCTCAATTTTAAAATAATTTGCAGACTGATAGTTTGAGGTTACATGAAATGACGAGTGAAGCCATCAGTGTGTTGTTTATCTGCAGCAGCTCAGAGCCGCTAAATCTGTTTCTATTCTGAGATAATCAAAAGCTTCACTGGACTGCCGCTTAAGGCCCTGTCACACTGTCCCGAAATTGACACCCGATGGACACACGAATATGGAATTGTGAATTTCGCACGAAGATGGCCCCGAACCACACACGAAGGCAACATTTACATTACATTTAAGACATACAACTGCAATGAAAGTACCAAAAACAATTAGTGTTACAGTACTATGATACTGTACTGATATCTTCAGACTTTGTTCTTTACTTTATCCGTCGTTATATGTAGAAAATATTACGTTTTCTCCGTAATGTTGTTTCCATAACAACAACAACTTCCTGTCAACTGTCCTTCAAAATAATATATTATATCCTTTTTAGTTTCACAGAACACAAATTGGGTTATTTACATAATATGTTTACATGATTTTGTTGTGCAATAAAACAACCCGATGGACACACGATAAAGGAAATGTTCAAATTCGGCTGTGATCGTAGCAACATCGGGCCATTCGTGAGGGCATCTTAAGCCATCGTATGCCCGCCGGTGGAGTTTCTCAGGCTCCGGCAGCAACTTCGTGAGCGGTGGCAAAATCTTTGGCATGCCAAAAAATTGCCGAAGGACCTTGCGAAGGTTCATTTTCGTGTTGAATTCGTGTGTGAATGTTGCCCTTCGTAAGGCCATCGTGAGGGCATCTTGTGATCATCGGTGCCATCGGGCATTCGCCCCGATCAGAGTGAGGGCGAATGCCCGATGGCACCGATGATAACACGAAGATGACACGATTTGACAAGATGCCCTCACGAGTACCTTACGAAGTTGCCGCTCACGAAGTTGCTGCCGCAGCCTGAGAAACTCCACCGGCGGTCATACGTTGGCTTAAGATGCCCTCACGAATGGCCCGATGTTGCTACGATCACAGCCGAATTTGAACATTTCCTTTATCGTGTGTCCATCGGGTGTCAATTTCGGGACAGTGTGACAGGGCCTTTAGCAACAGCGTCTACAACTGGTTTCTAAACTGGTTTCTAACATCTCCATTTATTCCAGCAGGAAGGTGATGAACGATGCTTTCCCTTAAGGGTTTACTAGAGTTCCCAGAATTCCTTTCAATACGCTCCATCCGGCTTTATGGAGAGAATGACAGCAAACAGATAACTCAAATGAGAGCTGCAATAAAAGAGTCAAGATTGTGAGATTATGTTGATGACGTCACTTTAAGTTTGTTTCTTTACGTTACTAGTCCTTTTGTTATTTTATAGGTGACGTTGTTTCTTTTTGTAACTTTACGGTTTTGTTCCTCAAGTTATTTTACATTTACCGTTTTTGAAACTTTACGTTACTTCAAGTTAAATATTGTTTCTTTATATGACTTTAAGTTTCATTAAGTTCCCTTTTGTTTCTTAACGTAGTTTTTTTCCCCCTTAGTTTAAGTTTATTTTCTTAATATATTTAAAGGTTTTCATTGAGTTACGTTTTGGTTACTTAAGTTACGTTATTTATGTTAGCATACGTTATATGTTAGTTGATGTTACACAACATACAAGGATGATATTGCTCAGACCTTGCGTTGGGACGAAGTAGCTTGTCATTTAAAATAGGTTGTGAAAGTTTATTTAATGTTTCGACTCACGAGCCGAAAGAAGAAGGTTTGTCAGAATATTCTGAATGTAGGATTTACAAAAGTTGATATAAGCAAAACATAGGTTAGGTAAATGTATTCAGTTAGTTTAGCGAAAATAATAATTGTATTTAATTATTAAGAACCACAGCCAGAGGTCCTTGGATAGGAAACCACTGACCCCCACGGAGCGTCCGCTGCTTCGTCATTTCTATCAATAACCGGAGAGACAACAGCTGCCGACTATCACCCTCTGTGGGAACCATTAACTCAGCACTACAGACACACACTACACAAACTACAGCACACACTACAACACACACACACTACACAAACTACAGCACACACTACTAGTGATGCTCCGACCACCCATTTTGGGGCCGAATCAGTATCGCCGTTCCGATGGAGTGGGCGGGGCCTATGGGGATCTTCCATTTAAAGCTCAGTTAATGATCGTTCACTGGAGCTTCCACAAACAACAACCAACATCATTATTACATTCAAATGAAGTACATTTTTCAAGTTTACATTAACTTTAGCTCACTGATCCAGTAATGAGTGACCCGGCCCGTTTTTGGTTGCGTTTCCACTTGGCGTAGTTCCGGCTAGCGGGTACTATTTCACAGTTTTTCTGGCCCCATAAAATCGAGGTTCTTTCCGGGCCAACTACCAGGCTGAGTCGGGCTGAGTATGCTAAACTAGAGAGAGAATCGCTGACAAGGGGGCTACAACTACAACAAGATGAACATATTTGACCGTGATTTAATTGTAATACACATTTCAAAATGATGCCGAAGTAACAACATACTGATACCGGTTAGTAAAAACCATGAATTAATGCTTTGACAAGTCTGCAGACAGACGGCAGGCGAAAAACCTTTTAAAATGCGGGTTTTCTAAATGGAGCTTGGCTAAGCTAACGTTATATATGCTCCGACCGTCCACACTCACAACAACGGCCAACAGACATAAATAAACCAGCGACTGTATTCTCCATGACACAGGCAGTCTGTGGTTTGTACTTGTTTAACTTTTGTCTAGTTTCTGAACAGATATGAGGAGCTGTGAGCTCTGAGTGCTAACAGCTAACGGCTGATGTTGGTTTTCTGTGGTTCTCATTGAAGATGACGTCACGGCTCCGTCTACACTGCGTTACTATAGTTACTGCCCCAGCTACTAAACTGTAATGGAAACACAGCATAAAGTGAGCCTGGCCTAATAAGGCCTAACGAGGCCTAGCCATAGGGGGCGAGGCCCTGTAGTGGAAATGCGTCATTCGTGTGTGTTTTGCTCCGCTCTCCGGTCCGTCACAGCGGGTGGAGCTGCAGGATTTCTGGATTTCGGCGGCCGATCGATCGGAGCATCCATAAACACTACAGCAACACTACAACAAACACTTTACAGACTACCGACAAAACACTGAAAACTACTGCAAAAACTACTAAACAACATTTCATTTCACAATAACTCTCTGTTGAGCAGGGTTAGGGTTAACTCACTTTGAGGTATTATATGAGTATAATAGGTGTGATTAAAGCGATAAAGCAACATATATTTATTTACATTTACAAAATGACAACTTATATAAAATAATGGTAAACTGGAGTAAAATATGGGGGAAATGCAAAGGGGAAAATAATTTAAAACATTTAGTTTTAGATACATTCATTTAAACTATTTTGAATTAATATGATTTTGTTTTAAATAAATGAAATAAATAAATACAATGAATTATTACTTAAAAATAAAAATATACAAAAATATTATTTTTATTATTTTGCAATGTATTGATAGTTTCAGTTTCATTCTCAGCCTAACATAAAAGGTAAATACATGCACAAATACATTAAGTGTTTAAATAAGAAATAAATTAAAAAGAAAATTAAATAGAAAAAAACATTAAAAAATGAAATAAATAATAATTAAGCAAATTAAAAAAACTGAGATATTGTGAAACTTTTTTTAATCAATTAAAAATAAATGACTGCATTCACTCATTGTTTTAGAGATACAAATGTGTCATTAAACTCGTAAAATAATTTAGCTTGAAGTGGGAACATTTGACAGAAAGTGGTCATAGTAGGATCTTTTAAAATGAGTTTAAAAAATCAAAACGGTGCATTTAAGTGTGTTTAAATCACTGCAAACTGTTCAACACACATTGATCAAAAGAGGTCTGTTTTAGGGACACAGAAGGAGTGTTAAACGTGTTATAAAGTGCATCATAGTGTAGCAAATACATCAAGTGTGTCCATCTTTCTCAAAGCACCGTGGGAAAATATTCAAACACGATGCCAGATTGGAAACAGATGTTCAGAAAAGGAAGGAGAGACGTCCTCGGTGTTTTTACCGCAATTTATTTCTCCTACTAGCACAAAATAAAAAAAGAAACCATAAATAAATACAAAATAAAAGGAATTAAGTGCACTTTTTAATGGTCCTTGGAGGTTATTCCCGGCACGTTGTGTGTCCTGCTGCCGCCTGCTAATCACCTCCCCTCCTCCAGAACAAAGTGAACTTTTACCGGGACTTTGAGTGTTTTTTACCCGGGTTTTAGTGGTGTTTGTGCAGGGGTTTCGCTCACCGTGCTGTGGCTGCAGCCCATTCCTCCTCCTCCTGGTCCTCCGAGCTGTCGGTTAGAAGCAGCTCCGCTTCTTCTGTTGACAACTTTCAAACACGGGAAAAAAACCCCAAAAATTGCGTTCCTGAAGGCACCGCGAAAGGCGGGGCTTATTTGAGCTGCCTTCAGGGACACTTCGTAGCTTTGTCAATCTAATGTGAAAAAAGTAAAGTAAACAAATTAAATACAATTGAAATGTTATAATAACAAAATAAAAGGGAATAAAGGGGAATTCAATTAATAAAAAACAAACAACAATGTTTTTATAAGAATTTCTTTATAATAAATAACTAAATTAAATGTGTTATAAAATTAATACAAGATAAATACAACTGTGTTAAGGACACTTCATGGCTTTATCAATCCAACATATTTTGTTTACATACAAATATTACATATAAATGAATCAAAGTAATACAAAACAAAAGAAATATAGTAGTAGTAATATAATATAGTTATATCAAATAAGGTATAATAAGTACATGAATACAGAAGAGATTATTAAAACAGATAATTCAGTGTGTTTTACGGACAAAAAAACAAAACCTAAGTTAAGTAATTAAAAAGTACAATTCTTAATTTCTATTAACATTTATTCTGTAGTCTATGTAAAAAACTGCACATTTATTTTCCAATTAAACTGCCGGATTTTCTTTAGTCAATGGTTGTTTCTCAATGTCGAGGACGCTTCCTTGGTAGGACATGTCTTCCGAGTCAGGTCCTTCAGAAGCGAGAAAATAATCCTTCCTCGGAAAACGGAGAATTGTGGAACAGGCTAACAGGTGCGTCGATTTCCGCCAAAGACTTGGAAATTGGTCCGTGCGCAAAGCATTATGGGGATTTTAAGACCGCGGAGGATACATTACATTACATTGCATTTAGCTGACGCTTTTATCCAAAGCGACTTACAATAAGTACATTCGACCAACAAGATACGAACTTGAAGAAAACAGAATCATATAAGTACATCAGGTTTCATAGAGCTAAAACATTTCAAGTGCTACTCAACTGGCTTTAGATAAGCAAGTCCTTTATTAGTATATAAGTGCTTTGTTAGTAATTCTATCGCTCGAAGTGGAGTCGAAAGAGATGAGTTTTCAGTCTGCGCCGGAAGGTGTGCAAAGCTATCTTCTTGCACATCTTACACATGTGCAGCCTCGAAATGTCCCGCAACAAAGGACGCCGGCCTCGGTAGAATTCCAAGCATCCTGGACATTGGAACAGTCCTTCGGCGGCACTCGATGACGTAGCATCCTTGAAATAGTGGCTCTGGAGCAGCCTTCCTTGACATTGAGAAACACCCAATGTCTCTCTACATTTAAACTACATTTCAGTCAGGCAACTCATGTGTTTCTTAATATATGTTTATTAGAAGCAGCATATAGTTTGAGTTTGGCGTCTAGGCTCGGGCCTCATCGCTCCACAGATGTACAAAGAACATTGAGTGATGATTATATAACTATCCCCCGAGCCTACAGGTGGAAGCTGGGGTGGAAGCTGGGGGTGGAAGCTGGGGGTGGAAGCTGGGGGTGGAAGCTGGGGGTGGAAGCTGGGGTGGAGCTGGGGTGGAGCTGGGGTGGAGCTGGGGTGGAGCTGGGGTGGAAGCTGGGGTGGAGCTGGGGTGGGAAGCTGGGGGTGGAAGCTGGGGTGGAAGCTGGGGTGGAAGCTGGGGTGGAGCTGGGGTGGAAGCTGGGGGTGGAAGCTGGAAGCTGGAAGCTGGAAGCTGGAAGCTGGAAGCTGGGGTGGAGCTGGGGGTGGAAGCTGGGGTAGAAGCTGGGGTGGAAGCTGGGGTAGAAGCTGGGGTGGAAGCTGGGGGTGGAAGCTGGGGGTGGAAAGCTGGGGTGGAAGCTGGGGGTGGAAGCTGGGGTGGAAGCTGGGGGTGGAAGCTGGGGGTGGAAGCTGGGGTGGAAGTTGGGGTGGAAGCTGGAAGCTGGGGTGGAAGCTGGGGGAGAAGCTGGAAGCTGGGGGTGGAAGCTGGGGGTGGAAGCTGGTGGAAGCTGGGGGTGGAAGCTGGGGGTGGAAGCTGGGGTGGAAGCTGGGGGTGGAAGCTGGGGTGGAAGCTGGGGTGGAAGCTGGGGTGGAAGCTGGGGTGGAAGCTGGAAGCTGGGGGTGGAAGCTGGGGTGGAAGCTGGAAGCTGGGGTGGAAGCTGGAAGCTTGGGGTGGAAGCTGGGGGTGGAAGCTGGGGTGGGAAGCTGGGGTGGAAGCTGGACGCTGGGGGTGGAAGCTGGGGTGGAAGCTGGAAGCTGGGGTGGAAGCTGGAAGCTTGGGGTGGAAGCTGGGGTGGAAGATGGGGGTGGAAGCTGGGGTGGAAGCTGGGGTGGAAGCTGGGGTGGAAGCTGGGGTGGAAGCTGGGGGTGGAAGCTGGGGTGGAAGCTGGGGTGGAAGCTGGGGTGGAGCTGGGGTGGAAGCTGGGGTGGAAGCTGGGGTGGAGCTGGGGTGGAGCTGGGGTGCATCTTTCTTCGCCTTTTCCAATGCGCCCCAGAAGGCTTTTTGTTGGGGTTTCCCCTCTTCATGTTGTGACTCAGTGAAGTTATAGTTCTTGTTCAAGCCGCCAGCGCGCGCAAACACACAAATGGACAGAACCAAAGAAAACATAGAGGGGTGCAGTGTTTGGGGTGCAGTGTTTGGGGTGCAGTGTTTGGGGTGCAGTGTTTGGGGTGCAGTGTTTGGGGTGCAGTGTTTGGGGCGCCCCTACGTTTTATTTTTCATATTCTCAAAAAAACATATAAATCCTGATCTGGGGGGCGCATACAACAATTATAATCTGGGGGGCGTCCCCTGCGTTGGGGTGGTGGTGGGGCAGGCGAGCAGCAGCAACATGAAACGTAGCTATAGCAAGTGAACACAGCAGCAGCAGCATTAAGGAGGCAGAGGCAGGAAGACCTGGCAGCTTCAATAGAGCGGCATGTTTAGGAGAACGTGTTTGGTTGGTTGAAAGAGGGACGAGGCGCGTCACGTGTTAATGTATCATTGGTGCTCGAGTTGACTGCCTGAACTAGCTCACAGGCTTCGCCCCATTTCTCATCAGCCCTTTTTTGTTGCTGGTGGAAAATATTTTAATTTGACATTGAAGACAAAGAAGACAAAAGGCACAGGTGTGTTTCTGTGCAGTCTCACGCTGCTGACACCGAGACAAACTGAGATTAATTGAGAGCTTTACAATCCTTAGATCAAGTTCTTTATTCTCACAACAGGAGCAGTTGAGTGAATGTTCTCAGTGAGTTTTTCCACAATCACTTTGTACCCTGAAAAATCCTAGTTTGTAAAATGAGTATTTCAAAATGTGTCTCTGTGGAAGGAGGAGACTCATTTGCAAGTAAAATAAAATGTGAAAATAATGTTTTCACTTGGTTGATGACTACATCTTTTGTTTTAATATTTTAGTAAACTAAATTGCATATTCATTATTTGATATTGACTTGTATTGATATTGTTTTTTAAGCCTTAAAAGTAAAAGTAGATTAATAATTAAATGAAAAGTACATAAGAAATAAATGCACAAATACATTAATTTATGTTTTTTAAATGTGTTATAAAATATAAAAGGGAACATGAAATAGGAAATAGAGTTTATTTAAAAATAATCACATTTTGAGTGAACTAATAATACATGCAATAACACTTAAATATATCTAAATAGTATATTCATAATTAAATAGGAAAAACAAAAAACAGCAGTTAAAAGGGTAAAAAAAGACATAAGTCAATAAAAAAAGCTGAAATAATTGATGTCACATTTTATATAACAAATATTAAAGCCTATATTTTTTTCTAAAAGTATAAAAGTGGGTTGAAGCTCAACAAAATAATTCAAAGCTTTACACCAACCCATAACGACCCTCAACAGACGTCTGTAAAGGATCCTACAAAAATACAGGAGAGTAATTAACGGTGCGTTCAATGTAATCAGATTAATTTATTTGTGGTCAGCTGCAGGAAAGCACCTGTGTGTGTGTGTGTGTGTGTGTGTGTTTAAAATATTTTTGCTGACACACCTGATGCGATTAAAGCTCCTCCTGGCAGCTGTGTTTCTACTCAGCAGCCAATCAGCATCGAGCTCTTAATTGGATCAGGTGGAGTGGGAGCAACAGGAGAACTAATAGATGGACTTAATAGATCTTTAGATGCTTTCCAGTATTGTTTAACTTATAACGAGCACATTATTTCTTTACATTACATTTTAACATATGATAATAGGAGATGTTGCCTTCAAATGTAGAACACAAAAACGGAATTTGGAAATTATAATTAGATTTTAATGCCAAATATTATATTTGCAAATATAATTGTATGTACATATTTTGTGTGTGGCTGTAAATGCCCTAAGTTAGATTTTAATATGAACATGGATGGGATGTCCTTTTTCTGATGTTGTTGAAATGGTTGTTAATAAAGTTATATAACAAACACATACAGTAAAACACAAGACAACGAAACGATACAACTAATAATAACTTTTGATGCAACTTTAACCTCTTCTCCTAACCTCTAACCGGCTCAACAGGACTCAGCTTATCAGTAGAGTTGAAGCTCGACAATGACGGAAAATGTGTCAAAGTTTATCGGTTTATTCTAATGAAAACAATGAAAACAAAGAAGACAAAGGGTGCAGGTGTGTTTACCTGCGTCACATGCTGCTGACACTGAGCCGAACAAAGTAAAAGATACATCTCTGTCACTGTCAGCAACATCAGAGACAAAACATCACGAGTGTCTGAACATGTGGTCAGACGTACACACATACAGACACACATCTTGTACTTCTTATTAAAACTGGATTCATTTAGAGATGAATCCACGCTGTGTTTGGATGACGGTCATTTCTTTGAATCATCCAGCTGGTAAACACAGGCATGAATGACGGATGCTGTTTCACGAACAACAAAGAGGTTTGTTGTTCTCTTCTGACTAACTGGGAAACCTCGGTTGGAAGTTACTGCTCACATTTCCTTTTTGTCATTTATAGACGGACCAAAAAACAGAATAGACTCAAAATGACCAAAAACACAAGAAAAGCGACCAAAAGGAAATAAAAAATACCAATAAGAGACGTTATAACTACCAAACAGATGCACGACTGC